CTCACCCGACAGCCCGTGGAAACGAGTAAGCACTTTTAATAGAGAACTTGCGGTAATTCACTCGACGCTGATAGTCGCATCCGTCAACCGGAACTTCGCTTCGCGAAATCGCAATGCCGCCGTACTTTTTGGAGCACCGCCACGAACGAAAGAATTCAATTAACTCGCAACGGACGAAGAGAGAGAGTTTCCCCACTGAGAATATGTAATTCTTTCTCTGTCTGATGTATAAATTATCTCACCTCGTGGGGGGGGGGGGGAGGGGGGGAACACGCTCGCTCCCTCGCTCCGAAACTAGATCAGTGACGAAAAATGATATATTTCCAATTTTTAACATGCACTCCGAGTGTCGCGCGCGAGTTAACAATATTATTAAATTCCCGCTCGTTAAGAATTTCTAAGTTGAAACATCACGTCCAGATCTGATCTATGTATTACGATCACTTTTGGAATATATCATATCTGTCATGATATTAGATATCATGATTTCCCAGTTGCATCTGACACTTTGGCATCAGTAAATCCGCCGATCTGATGTAACAAATTGAATTATAAGATTGGACAATGAGCAGCAGGCAATCGATATTAAATTAATTAATAAACAGGAAGTTGTAAATTTTTTTAACCCACACTGAGTCTAATAAATTATTAAAACACGCATATTTAATGTATCTTGATAATAATAATAATAATAATTAAATCCCTTTTTTTTAATGTGATTAATCGAGTTTTTTTACCGGCTGTAAATGACTCGGATGTTACGAAAGATGTTGAAAGAGAATTTTATCTTGTGATCCTTTACGTTCGCTTGGAAAAAGAAATATGAATTCTAGGATCTTTCGGGGCTTCTTGCACATTTCCGAATCTTTGGCGTCGTAGCTTTTGAAATTCTTATACTCATATTTTTAGATCCTTATATCCAAGTTGAATTAAAACGAAAAGAATTAGTAGAGGAAATTAATTTTTTCTCAACTTAAATTTGTATCAAAGGATCCTTATAAACCTTAATAATATTAAAGAAGTGGTAAAAGTGGTAAAAGCGGAAAAAGTGGTAAAAGATAGATGGCAAAAGTTCAGTATCTAATTACGTTATCTTTATCATATGTATAAATCAAGAATATCAATTTTTTTGTATATAATTTTAAAATTCAAAATAATTATTTTTAAATGCGGAAAGAAAATGATGGAAATTTTATTTAAAATACAGATAAAATTATATTTAAAATACAGATAAAATTGTAAACACACAACATTAACATTTGTGGTTTTAATGCAATATAAACATTTCTAGATTTGTAATGAGTTATTTTTATTACAATTAATAATGATAATTTAAGTAAATTATCATTTTATTAGCGAACAGCTACTGATAATGTTATACTAATATTATAATACTATAATCCCTTGTATTTAATGAAATTTCCATAATAAATTTTCTTAAAACCAATTTTAATAAAATCCATTACAATTTCCTCTTCATTTTAAAACTCTTGGAATTAATTAGTTATGCTAACTTTTTATTTTAATTTTAATAAAATTAACTTCTGTAACTCAACTTCAGCTTTAATACACCTATTCATCGATTTATTTATTTATTTTTTTAATACATTAAAGACAACATTCCAACATTGTTAGCGGTGTGAAAAAGTAGCAAACGAGCGCGCTATAATAAAACTGGGTGTCCATTACGTTGCGATTGCGCGGAAAAACTTTCGAAAAGATTCCGATAATCGAAAGATCGTGCTCGACGAAACAATGATATACTATACTTCGAATGAAAAGTAGTCCGGAAGTTTGTCTCCTATCGAGCGCGAGATTACTTCGCGGGATTTTCAGCGAGGTAATTTAGTGATCCTGAAAAATTTCAATAGTTTTTCATAATCCAACTCCCGTCGATTGCGCTCGATTAATTGTCTCCGTTCGATTTAATTACACCGGGAATGAGATGACTTTTTATGCAAGTATACTCGTTATAACCAGAGTTATTTACATTCTAATATTTTTGTAATATTTTTCACGATAGATTTGGGCATCAGCAGAAATTGTTGTATCAACGTCTCTAGGCCAAAATTTTGTACTTACGTATTTTAACCTGATTAAAATATAAAATATATTATTTAAACAAAATTCTGCGTGTACTTTTACCAATGTTATTGATTTGAATATAATCCCGAGTTATCCCGCAACATTATTTTTGACAAGAAAATAACATAAATAAATTTCTAGAAAATTTTGCAATCTATCATTCCATCGTTCTCTTTTATCAAAGAGAAAAATACGATGTGACGATATAAAATACATTATTTATTCTTGAAACGCCATAAACGCTGTATGTCACACGCCGCAATAGATAAAACATGAAAGTTACTTGCATAAAATTTTCATCATTCAAAGGCGTAATATTAGTCGAAAATGTTCTTCTTTTACGATCAAGAAAATGCAAATTGCATCCCTTTACAACTCGAAGGACACTGTCGAGGATAATTTTTGCCGGCAAACTTCAGCTGTCGCGGCCTGAGCGACCCCTTCGTCGATAAGTGTAATATTGTTTCCTCGACCCCGTTCGAGTCTACCTCTACCTCATCCATCCTCCATCCACTTCTCTCGGCCGCGATTCATCCCCGATGCAGCCCCGGTGAAGCGAGGTGATAAAGTGTCCCAATTGTCTGATTCGCGCGGTATATGGAAGTCACTCCCCATCCTTCTTCCCTCTAGTTTTCCCCCGGCAACCATCGGGGTTGGCGAGAAAACGTGCCTAAACGTGCTCGGAATGAAAATTCGAGTCGTTGTCTGCGGCTAGATCGAGGCAAATTAACCGACCGATTCCCGCGTCGGAAACGCGCGTGACCACCCTCGGTTTCTCGGTTTGTTTTTTTGCAAATTGTCACTTTTCCGAATTTTCCGACCGCCATTGATTTTTTTACTTTTTTTTTTCTTTGACGCTTTACACGCGTCTTTCGACACGTTTCCGTCGACGCGACTCGGTTAACAGGCGAATGCGCACGTGGAAAAGATTTTAAGCGACACGTTTTAAGAGAAACGAGAGAAAAAGATTTTATCGCGATTCGTTCGTTCGATTGCAAGAATAAATTGAGGATAAGTGCGAGAAATGTAGCGCAATTTCATGAAAGTCTCGAGCGAAGAGAGATGAGGGAAAAAAAGGGAGATTATTCCTTGCCAATTGACCTAATGTAATTAGCATAACTGCGATCTGATGATCCTCCAGGAACCTAATATTCGATCATTTAATCGAGCGTGACAATCGCATTCATCACACGCAAATTGTAATCCATTTAGGCATTATAATCGAGTTTAATCGATTAGCACAGTATACAGAGTGTTCTGAAAAGACCGATTGTCCTTTCTAACATCGGAGAATTGATTAGTTTACGAATTCATATGCTTCGGTTGACTTTATAAAATAAAATTTATTTCATACACACAAGATTTTTATCTAAAATCTAGAAAACTATAGATTTTTCTAGTTCTAGTTTTCACGAAGTTGGTCGTTAAAGAAGAAACTGTGATTGACCGAGAGATCTTAAAGAGTAAATAATAATAAGAAAAGGGAAGTCTAGTTCTCAGAGTCTACCTTCTCTCAGATGTTTGAGAGAAAACATTTATCTTCATTCTCAGTCAATTGATATTATTTTTTTTTTTAACTAATCGCAAATGCGGGCAAGTAACTTGCCCGTTCTACCAACCTGTTTAGTAGCATTTATGTATATAATTGTTTGTCCTCCTCAAGTGAGATCCGCCGTTGGCACTTCCGGGGTGCCGTTGGCACTTTCGCGTAACTCCAATGGTTCGTCACCGAATAGAAGCACTTCGTCGAGCTCGATCCGCCGCGTCGCGGCCCGGGATCGTTTCTTGTGCACCATCGAGCCGCTCATGTCTCGAGTCTCACTCGATCAGTCTCCTCTCGCACTCTCGAACTCGAGTGCGAGTGCGCGAGCGGAGCGAGTCGGCCCTGCCGATTTAAAGCGCGATCGTACGAGCGATCTTGCGGCAGGTGACGCCGCGTGGTGATTCGATGGATTCGAGTCCCTTGTTTTTTCTCCTCGACAACGCGCGCTCCATTTGCGCGCGGTATCACGCGGTATCACGCTTCACGTATGCATACGCGCGCCGCATATGCACTCACTCGTCTCCGAGTCTTCGGAGGGGGGGGGGGGTGAACGCTCTCTGGGCTTTTTCTGGGGCGACGAGACTCCTCCCCCCTAAATTAACGACGTGGATCGTTTGTAGTCGCGGCGCGGCGCGTCGCCGCCACGCGAGCGAACACTCGACAACCGATAGCACCGTATTGATTCGACGTCCTTGCCGCAACAACATCGCGGCGATATCGCAGCAACATTGTGCATCCCCTTGGTGATGATCCTCCTCTTAGGGGCTCCTCGCGACTGCGCTTCCTTCCGTTCGCCGCGCGACGATTGCTACCATCCTCGCATTCTTCCTCCTCCATCACGGCAGCGGCTAACACGGCTGGCCCTTTCCATGAAAGCGAGCCTTCGTGATCGGATCCGAGTCGAGGAAGCATCGTCCTCAGGTTTCGGTGGGGGGGGGGTAGCAGGAATATCGCGGATATCACGTCGCGCGTCTCGAATAAATGTGGTAGTGTGGTTGTAGGTCTGAAGAAGTTATTATTCAATCGTAAGGTAAGCTCCGCCGCGAGGCAAAGCTCGACGTTGCGTTAAGTTGTCTCCACGCACATGTTCCTCGTATGATCTAAGATAAGGCTCGAGGCAATCGAGATACTCCGTATTCGGCATTGGAGAACTCAATATCCGAAGTGGAATTTTAGTGGAATTTTTAATTTTAAATATCAAGAAAATTCGAGGGCCAACAAATGAAAATTCGATGCTTCAAAATTCTAAGACCAATGCGTGGAACGTGAGGAATGAAGTTTCTGCGTCGAGGGAAGGCCAAAGTTTTATGAAATTTTTAGAAGAATTCGATTATTCGATATCTCCAGCCCCAATTTTTTTCATATTCAAGAGATCGAACAAATTTTTCAAAATCAATTTTCAAAATTCGAAATTTGAAGCGTAAAAACATTCGAGCTCTTTGCAACAGTTAACGTGTATTGCAATTGGATGCTGTTTCACGTATACAAACTTGGAAATGTATTTCACGTATCGCGAATAATAATCTCACATACACATACAATTCATGGCGGTAGCGTTTACGCGAAGTAATATCGGCGTTTTAGCCTCCATATCAGATTAAACAAAAAAAAAAATCTCTATCGTATTTCACGGATACCCGATCACTCGATATATGATAAAAAAAAATGCGAAACGTACATGCTCCTTTTTAATCGCTTTCTACGCGAAGGTAGAGAGGTCCATTAAAATGAAAGCAATTTTAGCACACCTGCTTCGTGTGCTTCTATATCTCTTTTCGTGGCAGACTGCCCCAAGAATTTCATCGCAATGAGCAAACGATCAATTTTCAATGTAATAATCGCATACGCGCCCCGCGCGATTCGCGCTCGGCGAATTTTTAATCAAGCAAATACCTTCCCCCGATCACGTGACCGCATCGGCGCTCTCTACTCACGTGTCTCGCATCGCGCTCTCTCTCTCTCTCTCTCTCTCTCTCTCTCTCTCTCTCTTTCCTTTCATTTTATCATGGAATTAATTTACGCACGGGAAAATTATCCGGGAACGAGATCTGAATATTATTCGAATAAAATTATTCCATTAGATTAACCTTTGCTTTCTTTCACATAATTATGCGCTGTTTTATTTTGATCGACTAAATTTATTCCAATTCTCCCTCTCATATTTGTTTTTTAATCTTTTTTAAACGCCTCTTCTTTCACCGTAACGGCTGCTTCCCTGAAAAATTGCCGTGTCGTGAATTTTTTCGCTAATTTGGAATAAAAGAGATCTCTAAATTTCGAAATTTGGTCAAAGAAATACGTTTGTAAGTGCTCGTTTGTAAATGTTCGTTATTTCAAGCTTTGAAATGTATAGTACAAAAATCTTCGAGCCGAGCTACAAAAAAATAAAGGGAAAAGGAGAATCGTCTCCGCTCAGTGAGTTTGCGTCTGACAGAATAAAAGGCATTTGTTTGTCTAATCATGGCTATTCCAGCAGTGGTGCTTGTGCAGCAATATCGGCCAGCTAGCCTTTCTTATCGTACCTTCGGAGACTATTCGCTTTTTGGAGCCTAGTTAACGAGGCGATCAAAAGGATCAATCTCACCGCAAATTCAGCGGAATCGCCCAAATCTGGGTAATTCGGGAGGGCGAGTTTGACCTTCGAGAAAATTAATGAGGATTCATAAATAATTTTTATAACGTCATTACTCCCCGACGCTATTGCTTCCTTATTATATTCTGAATATTCTCAAATGTACTCAAATGTATTTATCATAGCTCTTTTAACAAGAAAAAGAAGAGAGAGGTATTATATACTGCATAACAATTGCATAACAATTATTTTCTGTAACAATAACGTAAGTATTTTCTGTAATAATAATAATAATAATAATAATAATAAAAATACAGATAAAGATTATTTATGGACAGAAAATATTACAATAAATAATCCATCTTGCGCATTAATATTATCGTATTTTCTCTCTATTGTTTATGAATATGAATTAATTCTAACACATAATAACATGAATAATGAATTTATGCATTAAGTAGTGTTGAGCTTAGTCATTTATCTTCTATTATATCGTCACGTAGCATTGTCGTGTTAGTTTTATTAATTATATTCTAAATTTTTCTCTCTTCTTTAATAAATTTTATTATCTCGCTAAAATAAAGAGATATATATATATATATGTATCATTGCCAATAATTGTACGTAGTATTATTTAATACAAATCGTCCGTTGGGCGTATTTACCGTTACGTTATGCCGATTTAATCCGATTATTCTTTATCCCAGTCAGATTGTATAAATCCTATTAATTAATGTCTATATTGTCCGCTATCCTTTATCTCGATTGCATTACCTAAGACCTTGTTAAACCGTATTACTTTTTGTAATAGACCGTTTTCGTATATAATTTTTTATTATTCACTCATTACTATTGTAAATCTGTTCTATTTTTAGACAGGTTCTTTTTTCGAGTTTTCCATCACATACTTTTGTTTTACTCGATACAATTTTTCATATTTTCATATAAGAAAAAAAAAATCTCTTATTCCTGTCCTGTACATTTTGCTCATGCTATAAATTTTTATCCTTCTTCATCCGTTTGTATGCTCCAGCATGTATAATTCAATAAAAATCTATTATTTATCTGTATTTATTACATAATTGCACCGTTTTTTTGTCCTGATTATATTATTCGCGCTCTGTCACCTCAGGTGCCGTTTTTACTGCTTCATATTCCAGCCCTTTTGTTTAAACGTCCCGAAAGCAAGAGGACTCAAATAGAGGACAAAACGCCGATTCATTTTTTTTTTTTCCTTTCATTTCCCGCGGTAGCGATAATCATCCACTATGCAATATCCGCTTTTCCGACAACGCAGAATAATTCATCGTGTATGGGCGTGCAATCTCTCGCAGCTTCAACAAACACGAGTTTCGATTTCAGCGAAACTTTCTATATAGGCGGCGAACCCGCCGTTCCCTCTCTCCTCGACATCCCGGTAAATTTCCCGAGATGAAATGTTCATCACCACGTTTCACCGTATTCCGAGATATTCGAACGATTTTGCACTCGACGCGAAAAAAACCGGGGAGGCGCGATCCCCGATACCGAGAGGATCGTCGCTCCGTCGATCTTTCCGGGCGTTAAAGTCGTAAGGGTCCTCATCGGACAGGTACCTCACACACGAAGGCAGTGATCGACGATCTTGATCGGCCGTCGTGGGAATGCCCGGTATATTATACGGTATACACGTGTAATGCACAATCAGTTTTCTTCGCGTTTCCGGCCCATACGACGGCATCGTGGCACGGCCGCCGGCGGCGGCAGCGGCGGTATTCTTGTCATCGTCGTTGTCGTCGCCGTCGTCGTCTTCGTCGTCGACGTCGACGTCGACGTTTCGTCGTTTTCTCGTCTTCCTGGGCGCGACCGATGATGACACGATCCGCGCGCGTCAATTCTGCGACGGAATCGTCATCCTCCACGGCAACGGAGCCGCCTTCTTCCCTTCACCCTCGCCGCCGACGGCGCTCATCGATCACAACGTTTCGTTGTTGTCGTCCTAGTCGTCGTCGTCGTCTTCATCGTGGTCGTCGTCGACGGCGTCCTAGTCGTCGTCGTTGTCGTCGTCGTCGCCGTCGTCGTCGTCGTCGTCGTCTCGAAGAGAGATCGATCGAAGGCGCAGCCTCCGCTTCGACAGTGGATCTCGCGATTCGCGAGAAAGTTGTCGCGCGCCGCGCTCATCGGAAGGGGTGCATGGGTGGGAGGGGGTCGTGGTTCGCGTGAGAAGAGAACGGAAGGGAGGGTTGATGGTAGGGGAGGGCGGTGGAGGGAAGAAATGGACGATTGGACACTGCCTGTGACAGGCGAGCGAGCGACGCCCGCTCCGAGTATCCGAAAGAGACACCCACTAGGACTAGGCCCGAGGATGCCGATTATTGGGGGGTGGGGAATGGGGGGTGGTGGATGTAGGAATGGGTGGGTTAGAAAGTGAGAGAGAAAGAGACGGAGAGAGAGAGAAGAGAGAGGAGAGAGAGAAAGAGAGAGAGAGAGAGAGAGAGAGAGAGAAAGAGAAGGAAAGAGAAGAGAGAGAGAGAGAGAGAGAGCGCGCGAGGCGAGGCGAGCGAGAGAAGCTGCCAGTGGTGAGCGTCCGCCCGCTGCGACGCTCCCGACAGGACTGCGTCTCGCTCCCCATTTATGCCTTTCCCACCCCAGTCGCGGCGCAGCCACCCTTGCGCGTCCCCCTTTCCCAGCTTGGTCGCCACACCGCGAGTAGGACGAAGCTACCCCGCCGTGCTTCTTCCGCCCCCTCCCCCCCTTCTTCGCCGCACACGCTTCGTCGGCTACACGCGCGATCACGATACGGAAGCAGGGGGGGGGGAGAGGTAGTGGTGTACAATTCCGTCGCGTGCAAGCGTGTAAACATATTTGCGTGCTGACTAATTTCGCGCGTATTGCTCCGCTTCCGGAAGTGGACGGAGAGAAGACGACGCTTTAACCGACGATTTCGCCTTAACACCTCTTTCTCCATGAATAATTCCTTCGCATGGAAACTGTCGCGGATATTAATACTTTGTATTTTCCCTCGGCGGATATCGAAATTAGCTATTAGCTACTAATAATAGAAATCAGTTTCGAGAAATCGAGAACACTCGGAACAACGCCTATTCGGGAAACCGCTTCGGAGTAGCGGAAACTGAAGTCTACCGAATTCGCCGCATGATGAATATTCATGTAATTTACCGTGCATTCGGATTATCCCCTACCTGGGCCCAACGTACATCCCGAACACTTGTTGGTGAACTAATTGTAAGTTTAAAACGTATCTTGATTACTCCGACACGACAGAGATTGTTTCCGGACAATGTGTAACGATGATAATCTGTGGCTCTTAGGGTTCTCAGCCGATCGTGTTTCTTCAACACTGTGGAATAATGTAGCACCCGACGTATTTCTACATATTTCTATCCGGACGGATATTGCAATCTCGTTCTTGAAACTTGACGTAAAGTATTGTAAAAATGAGCTTAACCGATGAGGAAGTGAGGTGTTCGTGTGACGCCACTTGACTCATCGTTTATCAAAGCCAGCTGCTTCCTGTCTTGCGACAGCGTTGCGAATCGAACACGTGATGGGCAAAAGTAAAAATATCAGATCGCGTGCGTCTGTGTCGTCGCTCATGGGTATTCGCCTATACGCGGAGGAATTTTGCATTCGTTTGAAAGTGAAATTAGCGAACACTATCCGCACTTGAACTTTCCATTCCCTCAGAAGCCTTCCGCTACTCTGACAGCGGCGCGTTAGCATTCAAATATGGCTTCCATCTTTCCATCTTTGATAACAGGCTCTCTGGATGGATTTTCAATCTACCGGTAGTTCTCAAGATATGATAATCAACGAATGACGCTTCGAATTCTGCGTTATACGTATAGATACGACGTATCTCATAGCAAATGGAAAAGAAATTGATTAATACGGTAAATATTTATGCTGTTATAGAAAATTTTGTTATATAGACAACAAAACATTTTATTTTAAACTATTTTTATTTTTGTCGAAATAAAATTAGACACGCATGTCATTTTGATCCAATAGCAAATTTTTTTTATTTTTTTCAGCAAAGTAAATCTTACTGCAATATTAAACGATTGGTCATTTGCTCTGATATCAAATATACAATAGCGGAAAGGATTCTGCCTAACCTATTTTTATTCGCGTGGAAATTGCAACGCTGAATAATGCGGATTAAGTGGAAAACAAGATCTTTATTATCCGATCTCTATGGTTTCTCCCGGAGAAACATGGGGATGATTTATATAACTTAATTATTGTTTGATTACTGTGATGATTACTTGTTGACTACTGCGGCAGTTAAAGCATCGAGATATTTAAAGTTCTTCTTCTGGCGAATGAGTTTGTGGACTACTGCGAATGGACTATTATACAGCTTGTTCTGCAATTAGTTTCGATCAAAACTTTTCTTGGCAAAATACACATGCGGTGTATTACAACACAAAATAATTCACAAAATAATTAAATACTTTCGATTTTTCGCGTAAGCGAAAATTGATCTCGCCGAACAAAAAAAAACAGTAGAAAAATCCAGGAAGAGAAAATAGATCTATGAGTAGGGACTAATTTCTCATCCTCGCCTCGATGGAAAGCTCATTATTGCCAGAAGCTTGGCTTTGATGCCGGAAAACCGGAAAATCGATAGCGTAGCAACGCTCGAACTTGGCGCGGTCAGCGAAAATGTCGCTCGCCCCGGTCTGCCCTATGCGGAAGACACGGAATTTCGGCAAAATGAATAATATTATCGGCACGCGTGTAATGCACGACGAGGCAATTCACTGGTTGCGGTCGCTCCGCAAGGCTTTCAGACAGGTGTCAGAAATTGAATGCGCGCAATCAGTTGCGTGCTACATGTAATTAGTATAATTATGAGGACAACAGTCGCGCTCACGCGTTCGCGCGATCGATCATCGTTTGGCTAACATTTCGAATAACGCGCGTAAATCGCGTAAATCAATAGATGGACAGGTTGCGCCGGAATTATCCTCACGGTGACGGCTCCGGATGCTTTGTATAGAGCCCTATACATATATACACGCTGGGTCATCCGGTCCCAGAAAGCGCATGGGATTAAAGGGCGCTGAATCGATCTGGCCAACAAAGCTACGCGATTCCGAAGACAAACTTCGCTGGTAGACGGATCGGATTCGCTCCCTCACAGGAGTATTTCCTATTTACCACGACTCGAAATCACGATCATGATCGGGGACGTCGTGATCGCGCCGCATGTTTCTCCCGTCCACCACGAATTTCGTGATATCGGTTGTTCTACAAGCGCTCTCGGCCCTCCCCTCCGGACCTGGGAAATTACGACGAAACATCCCTTCATTTGTCTATTACAGCCGGCAACGCGCATTTAGCTTATCGGGGATGCACACGTTTCCCGTTACTTGCGCATTAACTCGCAGCTATTTCATGAGCAGATTAACCTGGAACGCTAACTCCATCCAAGAAGCCTGTGGTGTATCGCACGTATCTAACTTCAACGGGCCTCCATTAACGGGAATCCGATGATTTCGACCAAACGTGAGATTAACAGAGCGTGAAACTCAAACGAGTCAAAATTTATATAAAAGAGAAACGGTTTTTTACACTATTTAAGAAGGGAATTGATGAAACGGAACAAAATATATAATGTCAGAGAGATATCCAGAGAGGTAGAAAAGAAATAAAGTCACTCTTCCTTAAACTTTAATTAACAATCTAAGTATTAAGACGTAAAATTATCTGAATGCAAATTTGCTGAGGAAATCCGACAAGAATTTGAGATTTCAATAGCCGACGACAAAAAGGGGAACAACGCGTTTTGTTGAATGTATTTTATACTGATGCAGGGGTTGATAGGCGTAATGGAAGACACAGCGAGGGTGGTTGATAAGGAGACGAGGAATAAATGAGTCTGACATAAAATGACTATCGTAGCATCTAATAATCCGCCATTTGTCTCGCGCGTGTCACCAAAAAAGTTTCCTTCGCCGAGGACGCTTTAGGGTTGACATTTTAGAGTAATTTCTTCAGGAATTTGAATTAAAATTATAAAATGTCCGCTGTTGTTCTCTCCTTTGACATTAATTAACGGATAGCTATATAAATTTAAAAAATTCGTTGTTAACATTCGGCGATCGTTTACATTAATTTTTTTCATAAGAAGTTAACTCTGATAATTTTTTTCCAAGTGTATTTCATAAGAAGTTATTCTGATAATTAGGATTTTCATATTCTAACTTTTCTTAATTTCCAGCGTAAAATAATCTTGGCAACAATCTAGTCTCGAAGATTTTAACCTTTTTAATATTTCACAAGGCAGTAACTTCTCAACTTTTAATATAATATCTCAGGTAAATACAATATCTCAGGGGCGAGAATATTGGACTTGAAAATGGCTGTCCTGGGAAACTTCCGATCTGCGAAACACGCGGGACGTAATACGCGAACACAAACGGCGGTCACATTTTTTTTATTGCGCGCGACGAAAGGGGAAAATGGAGGAAGTTTTCGCGAAGGAAGTGAAACAAATCTACGTCGACCGCGCGGCAACCTAAATCACGTCGATGGGAAGTTTGGGTTCTTTAGGGTTCTTCGACGACGTCTTCGATAACACCCAACGAGGATGTCGAAATTGGATTAGAGGATAAATGCCATTCTCATGTTCGAGCATTATTCTTAACGAAACTTTTCTTACAGAGATCTGTAAATTATGAAATGTTTGCTCTGTCTCGGCTCCCAATCTTAGATCTGCAGCCTTTTCAGAAGTCCTGAATTTATTGAACCTTCACATTCTCCTCTTATTTTCGAGA